TACAACAGTTACGAGCAATATCATTTGCAACAGCAGCATCATGGTCAAACGGCAGCCACGGTGTTGGCACAACACTCACCTCCTTTATATAATACTGCAACTACAAACTCACCCGCCGCTATAAATACTCATCATCAACAAAATACCCAGCAGCAGCAACAGCAGCATCATCAGCAACAACAAAATAATCTCCCTCAGTATCAAAACCTCTACAACAGCCCGCCTCATCATCAGCAACAGCAGCATCTGACAAATCTGTCTGCAACACATAACCTCAGCAACAACAACAGCCACCCCCACCATCAACAACATCAGCTGCAGCAACACCAGCATCATCAACAACAGCAGCCTCAACATCACCATCATCACTCCCTCCACCAACATTTGAGCCATCAGCAACAACAACAACAGCAGCACACGCAACAACGTTTATCCGCCGGCAGTAGCAGTAGTGTTACTTCATCTTTATCATCAAATAATTCCTCTCTAACTTCGGTTTCATCTGCCAATACAAATGTTTCTTCCACCACACCTGCTGTCTCATCATCATCATCCGCCTCGACGTCTACTGCTGCTTCCTCGGTTGTAAATTCTCTAACCTCCTCCAGCTCACCCTCATCGGCTTCGTCAACGGCTGGTCCGTTTTTGTCAGCCGCCTCGTTGGGAATTAATTATTTCAACGATACCATACCATATGTGGGAGATTATTCAGCTGCGACGGGTCATTTATACACCGATATTGATGCAAACTTTTTTAGTCAAGGTAAATGAGCAAAAAATAACAATTATGACGGAATTAAATAGATCTCGCGATCGTTCATATAAATTTAAAAAAAGCTTTAATTTCTTTACAAACGAATCCATAAAAAGTGTTTATAACATGATTATGATCGTGTTTGAAAGGATTTAGAGTGAACTTTTTCAATTTCAAGCGCCATAAATGTTTCTTAACCTAAAATATATCTCAATGTAAATTTGTTAAATAAAATAGTTGATTTAATTTTATTATCTCTTAAGGTGGATACGATCATGTTTGATCATAGAATTGAAAATTTAAAAAAAATTATCGTTTTGAAAACTCACATGTGCCGAATTCAAAAAGATATCAAAAATAAAAGTATGTGGAATTCAAAAGTTTTGACAAAATATTCTTGTGATCTTGGATTTTTAATATTTGAATGTGATCAATTTTCAAAAATAAAAGTATGATGGGATTTAAAGGTTGTTTTCTTGGGATCTTAAATTTTAAATACATAGTTTTTATAAAAATTTTGAAGTGATCACGTAGTAGGTTTCTACTAACACTTTTATCTCAGATTTGTGTGATTTTCTATAGCAAGAACTATATATGTCCGTAAGTTCATATCTATGCCTTTGGTAGAAAATTTGTTAAAATTTGAATTCTTAATGAAACGATTTTATATTTTTGATAATTTTGCACTAAAATCATAAAAATATTTAAAATTACTACAAAACAAAAAAAAGATAAGTGAAAATATGTATAAATAGAAGTTTTTGCAAATACATAATTAATATAAATTCCATAAAAAATTATTTAATATTAAAAATTTTTTTACTGATTAAACATTTTAAGCTAAAATAAAACAAATACCAAGAAACGAAACAAAAAAAACATGAAAAGATTGTCAGAAAAAAACCCTATAAACAATGAACAAAAACAAATAAAATCAAAACCGAGCCAATGCAAATAAATGTATATTAAAATATAAAACAACAACGTAAACAATTAAAATATTTTTAATTACATTCACACTATATAAATTAAACAAAAGAAAAAAACAACAACAGAAAAATTGTACTTGTTTTACACACCAAAAAAAAAAACAAGCAACAACTAATTATCACATCAACACCACCACCCTCAAAAATTTACAAATATTAAAATTTAAATACCAAAAAGAAAAAAAACTAAAATTGGAATTCTGAAACACATAAATTAAATCTTAAAAATGCTTTGTATGCTTTTTATTTATATTCTAACTCGTAATTGTGGTTGAATGATTATAATTTTGTTAAATTACATTTCGAATCAAATATTTACATAAACAAAAAACCTCAACCACAAATCCCTCTTTGATGTTAAGATAAATATGGTTAGCCTAAATGAGGGTGTGAAATTAAGATTTGTCCTTAAATAGATTTTAATTAAATTGTAACTTTTCTTGTTAATCCTTTACTATTTTCCCACAAACACCCCTTTTTGAGTTTGACTGACTTCAAAAGTGTAAACAGAGTCAATGTATAGACAACACCATAGAAAGTACCGGCAAAATTTGATTGTTTTATTGTTGTCATGGTAAATAGCTTAAGGGAAAGTTTGTTGCTTTAAATTCAACAAGTTGTTGGTGAATGTAACAAGTAGTATTTAGTTATGATTGTAGTTCTGCTACAAAATGTGGGTATTTTGTATTGAACTACGTTTTACTTTAATGAAATATGTATAAATGGTGATAACATGGGCGGCAAGTTCTTACCACGCTCGCTTACAAATAGCTACTTAAATTAGTACTTACAAATGCACAAAAAATGCTCACGCAGAATATGAATTTGAGCTTGTTGTTTTGTAGTGCCTTCCTAGGGAAAAATGATACAGCTGTCGCTGGGTTAACAATCTTTGGCCTAGTATGACTCAGATCGTTCCGGAGCGAAGATCTAATTGTCCTGAGAACTTGGGCTTGTTGTTTGCTGTCGTATTCTTAACACCACTGCTTAGTTATTTTATTGTGCAAACTCTAAATAAAGTACTTACTTATCTGATTATATGTAAGTCATTATAAGACTACTTAAAAGTAATGCAGACGGTAGTAGTCATTGAAAAGTAAGTGGTTATGTAAGTACAAGTCTTTATAAAGTTTTTGCTGTGTAGATAAACTTACTTATAAAGAAAAAAATACCTAAATTTTGACAATCTTTAAACAATTTAAGTAAATAATATGTTATTTTATTTAAGAATAACATACTTTTCCAAACATATTTATCAAACTTTCAATATTCCCTAAAATTTAAAACATTTTATTTAAAAAAAACTGTGAATGTTTGATTAATATTTGTATAAAAAAATGGCGCCAAAATATAAAATATTGAACAAATTTGTTGCTCCGAACTTACACTACAGTTTTTAATCAATTAATAATTTCATTATCTTAATTAATATTTTAATTGTCTTAAATAACATTTTGCAAAAATTCGTTAAAAAAATTTTAGAATAATTCTATTAATATTTGGAATAAATACTAAAAATTAATTTTGAAATTAAACTTATTCAGAATAGAATATAATTTTAAAAACCTGATTTTAATATCAATGAAAATTTTTTCGAAAAACTACCTACAAAATTGAAAAACTTTGAAATTTTTTAAAAATAATTAATTCTATATCACTTCAATTTAGATAGACAGATGCAGACAGATCCCACAGATTTGTTCAGGTCCAGTTTATCGGTCAATATGACTAAATTTGTAATGACAGTGATCATCATTATAATTTGTCGTTAAAGAAGCGATTTGTTATGATGGTAGTTTTGATTCCCATGGTGTCAAAAATACATATATACATTTAGGAATGGGTGATGAATGAAATTAATATCTAAAACAAATACTTATTTATTTTAAGAAATCGAATGCAAAAGTTTTATAAAACTTTTAATACTCATAACAAAAATTACAACAAATTTATTTACTTAAAAACAAAGGAATTTATAACGAATTATATCCTTTACATTTTATTCAAACAGTAAACAAAACGTAAGAAAATCAACAAACATTTCTAATACCAAATACAACAAACAACTTAACAGATACAAATATACAACTTTAATAAAATGAAACAAAAATGGGAGGAGTATATGGCCAATACACTTAACAAACACAGATACAAATAAAAACAAAACAAAATCTGAGCAAATAAACTCTCAAACTTGTCAAGCATCTCTCTAAAATAAATTTTGAAAGCATCTCAAAATCTGCGCAATAATAAAAATCAAAGAAAAAGTTTGCAAAACTACAATGCCCCCCGAAAAGCAAAACAGCAGACCCCAACAAACACAAACATACAATAAATCTTAAGCGCACTGTTTTTGTACATAAAATGCCATTACACTCCCAAAAAAAAATAACTAGTAAAAGCTTTTTTGCAATGAACTTTTGTTGTTGGTTTTAAACAGCAACAGGTTTTTCATGATTTTATTTTACATCTAAGTTTTTCTAGTATTGCTGTGTTATATTAGTAGTAGTGGTGGTATCTAATAATGTTTTTCTCTCCCTACCTAGACCATAAGAAATGTAGAAAAATTGTTATAGATTTCTTATACACACAAACACACACCCTGGCCTCCAGAGAAGATAGAAGAAAACCCATCGAACGGTCGTTTGGTCTCTGATTTGTTTCTTTTTTTTTTTTTGTATCTCTAAGCTTTATATTTTGTTTATTGGGGTGTTTGAGAGAGTGTGAGTGGTTGTTGTTTTTGTATTTATTATATGTATGTAAGTTTTCTTGGTATTTGTAACTCATTGGATTTTGATTGGTTTTCGAATTTTATCAAATCATCAACGATTTATGCGCATGATGTTAGTGTTATTGTTTTTGTTGTTAGTAGTACATTTAATGAAGGGGTTAATTGTTTGGTGGGGTTTTTGTTGTTGTTGTGGTCTTTTATTTGTTGTTTTATTATTACATTTAATATTTATGTAGATAGATCTGTCACGCCTTTTAGACGGCATCAGAAAATGTTTGTTAGAAATAAGAAAAAAGGAAAATGGAGATTTTTATTTTATCAAGATACATTTATCAATCTGAAAATATACATACCTATGTACATATTATTCTAAATACACGGTGTGACAAAAAAAATATAAAAACATTAAAGTTTTTTTTTTAAAAAAAAATTTATAATTTTTTTTACAAAAATCCTAAAATTTTAAAGTTAATTTTTCCTTTAAACTTTATACTAAATCCACACTATTTTTATTATCTCTTTTTAGGTTATTCAACTCCTCATGATCGCAATAATAGCCCGCCACCTCAACAGCAGCAGCAGCAATCGCAAACTGCTGCCAATACAGCCATGTTGCCACCAGCTCAAACACAAAACTCCACATCCTCTAATGCCAATAACAATAGCAATAACAGTGCTTCAGCCCTTTCGCCCAATAGTGCTAATAGTAATAATAATAACAACAACAATAATAATGGTGCCAATCTCAATTTTCTGCAAATGACCATGAGAAACCCAGCCGCTGCATTCTATACACAACATACCATGAAAGAGGAGCCCGGTACTCAATCCGCCTATGGAAATCTAAGTGCCAATAACAATCAAACAGATCCCACAGATTTGTCCGGGTTCGGTTTACCCGCCAGTATGACCAAAACATCAGCAGCCAGTTACGATGACAATGATTATCATAACAGCATGTCGTCACAGGATCATCAGAGCCAAGCAAGCTATTTAGACGGTAGTTCGCCGGATTTCTATGGTCTAAATGGTGTGGAACAGAAATATACAGACTATGGTCGTTCAAGGTTTCACAATTCCTACCCGCCAGAGTTTTCCTCCTACGATACATCACAATTCCCCTCAATGGCTGCGGCCGATCAATGGGGTGTCCATCATGGTAATCAACATCATGCCGCCTATCTGTCTACCATGAGTCTGGATAAGGCTTTATTGGGTAGTTATCCCTCACAGGGTGGTGTTCCCTGTTTCCAAGGCTCTGGACCCATACAACTGTGGCAATTTTTGTTAGAACTTTTAATGGATAAAAATTGTCAGGGTTTTATTTCCTGGACTGGTGATGGTTGGGAATTCAAATTGACAGATCCTGATGAGGTAAGTTATTGATTGTGTGTGTTATGACAAATGACAAAGATTAGCTAACGTTTTTCTGTTTTTTTCAAATTATTTCCTTTAAGGTGGCTCGTCGTTGGGGTATACGCAAGAATAAACCAAAAATGAACTATGAAAAGCTGAGCAGAGGCCTACGTTATTATTACGATAAGAATATTATACACAAAACCGCTGGTAAACGTTATGTCTATCGTTTTGTTTGTGATCTACAAAATTTAATTGGGTAAGTTTCTTTAAAAAACTTTAAAAAACCTTATGTTTTCAAAATTATTTTTAATTTAAACTTAAAACTAATAATTTTCTTTTCTTTTCTTCCCATAACAGTTATTCACCCGAAGAATTGTGTGCTAAATATGACCTCAAAACTGAAAAGAAAGATGATGATTAGAATTTTTCTTTAGAACATAAGACGTGCAGCAACAGACTTTAACAAAAACAACAACAACAAAATGGTGGATTCTTCCAAATGTGCTTAAAAGTAAATTTTCAACTACTCTACTACTACACTCAGCAAAAAGTAACCCAACAAACAATATAAAAAAAATACACACTAAAACATACATTAAAGAAATTCTGTTCTTTTTCTATCAATTACTCACATAATAATAATCTTTTATTTTTTGTTAAAGATAAAATAGTAAAAACATTTAATAATTTTTAAATGCATATATAAAAAAAAACGTGATGTAATTTTATAAGTTTATTTTTTTATAAAAATATTTAACAATTATTTTCTATTATAATATAAATCAAACAATAGTGGCTTGTTAGAAAATTAAAATATATATTTAATAAAATATTTTTAAATTTTATTTAATAAATAATTAATTTGAAATTAATTAATTTTTCTTTAATTTTAATACATTTTATGTATTTAATATTTAGTTAGTTTCTCTTTTCTTTATTAGTTATAAAACAGAAAACAATACAAAAAAAACGCAATGTTCTCGTTAATTTATTAAGTTTTATTATTACAAAAAAAAAAAATCCAAAATAAAAAAAAACAATATTAAAAACAAAAAGCTCAACATGTTTATGGAAAATTTTGAAAATAAAAAAAATCAAAGTTGTGCAATTAAAAATATCCACAAAAGGAAATTGCTAAACATAAATTTGAAATGCCATACACTAAAACTAAAATAATTGAGCATCCAAAGTTAAGTGATATTAAAAAAAAAATCTTTAAAAATCCCCAAATTATTTTGTAAATATTTTTTAAATATAATTTATAATTTCTTTTAAGTGTCTTAGACTTCAAGTTCATTTATTATTAAATGTTTGTCACATATTATTTTTTTTATTTTAGTGTTTCTTTATAAACAAACATAATTTTTCTCAGTGCATGAGTGCTTCCGTGAGACTCAAGAGTTTTATTTTAAAAATACTTATAGTAAACAAACATAAAAATTTTTATTAACACAAAAAATACCCACAAATTATGAAATAATTTAATTAAATATAGAAAAAAAAAACAATTTAGTGAAGTATGTAAAGTTTTATTATTTTAAATATAATCTTAAATTATCAACCTTATTGTTTTAATTAGTTGTAGAATTTAAATGAAAATAAAAAATAATTATAAAAATATATTCTAAGTAGGTGTAAAAATTATAAAAATTAACTATTGATAAAACAAACAAAAAAAGTAATAATAATTTACCATAAAATTTAATTTAAAACGTTTTTTTTTTTTCAATTAAAATGAAAAAAATATTTAATATTTAAGTCAATCCAATCTACATATAAACAAAATGCTCAAACATTTGCATAAACTAATTAAATGAAATAAAAATATTTGTTAAAAAAATTTAAAAAAATAAATAAATACAAAATGTTTTAATTATTTAAAATTTATTCAGTGTTTAGTAAGAATTATTTACGGTCTGATAGTGAAAATATCATAAAAATATATAATATATATAACAGTTGCAAGTTGTATAAAATTGTAAGCGTGACAAAGGGTGTGAAATTATACAGTCAAACTTGCTTATAACGAATTCTCGGTTATTACGAACAAGTTTTCAAGTCCTGCTATTTTGGTAACTATTTTCATACAAAAAACATCTCTTATAAAGAACTCGGTTATTACGAATCCTAGTATAAAACGCACTACTTTTTCAGTCCCTCAAGTACAATTTCATACAGTTTTCCTTTTTTATAACGAACTTCAAAATTATGTGTTGAAATTATAAGAATATATCTTGCTTTGTTGAAAAAAACTTAAATTTGTTAAGAAAAATATGAACAAATAAAATCAATGGTGTTTTTTTGTAGAGAATATTAAATAAATTTATAAATCATATTCCTAAAATTTCGTAAAATGCCACTTTATTTTTGGAACTACAAAAACTTCACCTGTGTTATTACGAACTTCGCTTATAACGAACAAATTTGACTGGTCCCGCGGAGTTCGTTATAAACGAGTTTGACTGTATATGTTTTATTTGCAAAAGAGTCCGTATTCCATTCAATTTAAAGCTAAAAATTGTATTAAAATATTCTTCTTATTATGTAAGTTATAAACAAATAACTAAATCCATTCATTGGCTATTTTGTATTACTGAATGCTTACAACTATTTTAGTTAAACATATACATAACTATTAGGAATATCAACATGAAACTTGACCAATATATAGAACACGATGTGATCTTTAAGATTGCAAAAAAAATAAAGTTGATTATTTTAACAGCTCCTTTGTAATATGCATTTCTGTACTTAAAGTCTTATTTCGAATAAGAAGGCGTGGCAGTGGGCGGAAAAAATTCACTCTACAGAAAAGCTAATTTTTCATACATTTATATGCATCCGATTTCTTTAAAATATTCGTAAAACTTTAGAAGTTATAAGCAAAAATATAAAATAGACATTGAAGAAATTACTATCTACCAGGTTCTGTTCACCTATTACTTTACGAAAATTTAACAGTTCAGTTTTTTCCATATTTTGGAAATTGAAAGAATTAGATTTTTTGCTTATAATTCCTTCATTTTTTAGTCAAATGATTTGAAATTTCTCATAGAGCTAGAGCAGAAAACTGACTTTAAAGTAGTTAGTAATAAGAATCGCTAAGCGTTTTCAAGTTTGTTTTATAAGCGTTTTTTTTAATAAATCATTAAGATTTTGATAGTTATCGATGTTTTAGGCGTCCAAAATTACATTTATTAAACAGCTGACATTTCATTCTATCCGATATTAGGAATTTCAGAAAGATATAACTCGTATTACAGAAGTTATACGTAAAATACTTACAGGTTTGTTTGTCCTATTGTTAAGCATAAAACGCTCAAAACTATGTAAGTTATATTGAAATATATTGGCCGCTGCTGCAACTACAAACTTAAAAATTCACATTGAAATGTATTTACTCCAGTGTTGTAAACCTTTTTCGAAATACAATTTGAATTTAAATTAAAGGGCGTGGGAATGGGCTAAAAATTCCATATGTTACTCCTATACAATAGTACGACTTCTAATATAATCAATGACCTTTATTCGGGGTTTATACACAAATCAAAAGTGTCTATAAGTTACCCGTGTGAATGTAATTACATAATTGGAGAATTATATTTAAATTCAAATTATAACAGTCTGACTTTTAATGTAAAGCCAAAAAGTATGCTTTATTAAATGTCTTACAGTTGTAAACAAAGTTGTGTTGTTGTAAACAAAATTGTGTTGCCTACTTTCAACATGAGTATAACAGTATAGCAAACACTTAACCCAACAAGCATAAGTGTATTAAGTTTCAGAGCTAATAATAGAATTTGGAAACTCTTAAGATTTTTAAACATAATACGCTACCCTGTATATACAATTCAAATTGAATTATTCAATTAATTATCAATTTGAAAACCAATTTGAATAAGCTTCTTTTTAATATATTTTGAAATTTTTATCAAAAAAATCATAATATGAGAATGTTGCAAACCTCAGCTAAACCATATCGTCTAATTGCTAGTCAACTATTAAAAAAAATACCATTAAATATCTACAATTTAATATTAAAACGTAAAGAACATCAAATACCCGAACATTTGAAAAAAGTGGCACAAGAAACAAATCCTAATTTGGCCCATATGGTTCAGTATTACTATCATGCAGCCGCACAGAAAATGGAACCATCTTTGAATAAAGAATTGGAACTTAAATACCCAAAAATGGAAGATAGTAGACGTATAGCACGTGTAGCAGCCATTTTAAAGTTAATGGGTATTGTAACGACTTGTTTAGAAGTATCGTTTCCTATTATAAAAAAAGATGGAACGTATGAAATTATAACTGGCTATAGAGCTCATCATATGAAACATCGTTTACCGGTTAAAGGAGGTAATTTTAAACATGTAAATTAAATTATATAACATACCTCAATATTTGTTTAAGGTATACGTTTTGGCATGGATGTGGATGAAGACGAAGTAAAGGGTTTGGCATATTTAATGACTTTTAAATGTGCCTGTGTAAATGTACCATTTGGAGGAGCTAAAGGTGGCGTACGTATCGATCCTAAGAGATATACCTTAAGTGAATTGCAAACTATAACAAGACGTTACTGCATGGAATTGTTGAAAAAGAATATGATAGGACCGGGTATAGATGTACCAGCTCCAGATGTTAATACCAGTGAAAGGGAAATGAGCTGGATAAGTGACCAATATTTGAAGACTTATGGTGGGTAGTAATCATTAATGTTATATACTGCTTCAGTTTCCAACTTCTGTAGGTCATAATGATATCAATGCTTTGGCTATTGTTACTGGTAAACCGGTTCATATTGGTGGTATAAATGGTCGTGCCTCGGCTACTGGTCGAGGGGTTTGGAAAGCTGGTGATGTTTTTATTAACGATAAAGATTGGATGGATTTGATTAAACTTAAGACAGGCTGGAAGGATAAAACTGTGATTGTACAAGGTTTTGGTAATGTGGGTTCTTGGGCGTCAAAATATGTGGTCGAAGCTGGGGCAAAACTTATTGGTATACATGAGTATGATGTTTCATTGTTTAGCCCAGAAGGAATTGACCCAAATGTAAGTTTATAAAATCACTAAAATATACATATATTATTCATAAGTACCTTTCTTTATAGGATCTTATTGAATATAGAGCCGATAAGAAAACTCTTAAGGGTTATCCCAAGGCTCAGGAGAGACAGGGTGGGCTTTTGCATGAAAAATGTGACATTTTAATGCCTTGTGCTACGCAAAAAGTTTTAACTGCCGAGAATGCCGACAAGGTGCAAGCTAAAATAATTCTAGAAGGAGCCAATGGTCCTGTAACACCGGCAGCAGATGTTATCCTTCGAAAAAAGAACATACTAATGATACCCGATATGTATTGTAATGCTGGTGGTGTCACTGTATCATATTTTGAATTTCTTAAAAATATAAATCACGTTTCTTATGGTAAATTAACAATAAAACGCGATAATTCCATGATACATGAAATATTCAATTCCATAAATGAATCAATGGACGATGGACAGGTAAATTAACAATTATTTCTTATAGATTCTAACTTTTTTTAATTCTAACTTTCTTTTAATAAAAATTTGATTAGCTAAAAATAACACCCAATGAAGCTTTACAAAATATACGCGATTGTACTTCGGAAGCTCAAATTGTTGACTATGGCCTACAAACTGTAATGGAATCATCAGGTCGTGGTATTAAGGAAACTGCTCATGAATTTGCTTTGTGTAATGATTTGCGCACTGCCGCCTATATTTACTCAATTCGGAAAATTTTTCGAGCTTTGGAAAGTTCTGGTATTTCACAGCAGTGAAACAGTCTAAGAATGTGTTTAATATTTACTTAAGTTTTCTATGAAAATTCTTTTTCAACAATTAATAATTCTAAATAAAAATATAATAAACTATTAATTTTTTTTGGATTCTTTCTATTTAACACAAAATATACATCACAAAATATAGTCGCAACTTCCTAATATCGCTTTACTTTTAAACAAATCGTTTAGCTGCCAAAACTCTTGAACGGGGTAAACGACATTGACTAATGCTGTGCAAACGATATTGCATTTCTGGTTGATTGACTTTTTCATGCAACTTCCTTTTAGCCTCTTCTACAGTATGCACAACAACACCACCATCACCCGAATCATCCATATTGAAAGCCTCACCTTCAGCACATTCGGGACATTGTTGAGTCAAAACGATCTCATTAATATCTGTGGGCCAATCGCAAATCTTTTCGATTTGTTTCACAATAAAATCACCAAAAGCTTTACTCTCATCCTTTCTCTCCAGAATGTAAACACTGGCGGTAATATCGAAAACTCGTCTTTCAAGGATTTTTAGGAAACGACGAACATTGACCAAATCAACATGGGTATGATTGCCAAGTAAAACCATAAGAGGGGAAGCATCACTGTGACACATGTGAAACAAGCTTTCAATACCTTGCAAGAGATTCTCCAAGCGTTGATCATTTGCTTCGCGAACCTTTTGCAATTCTTCATTTTTCTTTTGCTTCTCCGTCAAGGTCTGTTCCAAACGTTCTATGGTTTCGGTTTGATCTTGTAAAGACTGAACATTCGATTTTCTCAAAGAATCTATATCGCTATACAAACGATTAACCGAATTGGTGAGCAGTGTCATGTGATAACTTAGCTCATTGGCATAGTTAAAGTAGGAATAGTAAAGACTTTCTTGTTGTTGAAACTTCTCAATGACCTTTTCAACATTTTGGGTTTGTGTATAGGCTTGAATCTTCTCCAGTATTTTATTATATAAATTAATTTTCTTTGTGTGTTCACGTCGGAATTTCTCGCGTCGAGCATACTCTTTGGGTTGCAAATCTGCCAGTACTCTAGTTTTTCCTTTGGTATCCATAAATTCTGTGGTATCGGCATCGGCTGCTATTTTACGCATAATGCCCTGCATTTCCACTTTACGCAAATCTCGTTCTTTGGTTTCTCTCTTCATAATGTTATCGATTTTCTCATAAATATCGATACAATTATCAAAAGTACCCAAAGCATATTCAATTAAATCTATGAGATACTTCTTATCACTATTGAGTTTTTGCACCAATTTTGTATAGGAATCATTGAAGAATGTTCTATGATTAAGTATCTGAATAAGTTCCTCCCTCAACTGAGCATTGGCGGCTGCAAAACCACATTCACGTCTGACACCAACCTCTAGTTGATTTTCCAGAATCATCATTTTCTTTCTTGCCTTAGCTACATAAGCCTGATGTTGAGTTTCAGGCACTGTTTTGCGATTAAGATCATACACCTGTTTATTAACACGACTTATCTCACGCTCCAAGTTAGCTATAGCCACTTTAAGTTTACGCGTATCATCACCCAATGCCTCCTGACACTGTACATGACATTTAATATTCTTAAGGGAACGTTTATTGTCCCTTGTATGTGTAATGCCATTGGCCACCCATATCTGAGCTCTCAAATCATCTTTTTCCATTTTGAGTTGTTCGATGGCATTTTGATAACTTGCTTCGATAATGGTCTCTTTGCGGGTTTTCAATTTCGTTGATAGAATTTTTTTGTACTCTCGTTGCCGTTTGCCCAGTTCTTTTTGCTTTGACAGATAGATTTCAAGGAAATTTTTCTTTGCAATATTATCCATGATGGTAATAATGTTTGATCTTCTTCTTATTAGATTTAATATTTAAAAGACTTTTATTAATTTCGTTAAATTGTTAATAAAATATGCAGGTTAAAAAAATTGTTATATTAAAAAAGCTTTTTTGTGTTCTGTAAAATGTCTTTTCAAATACTTTTTCTGAAATTATAATCGTATACATGCCTTAACTAGATCTAAAAATAGTTTCATTGACACAACATTTATTTTAGATCAAGAATAATTTCAAACTAATTATGTAGGTTCATTTCTAATAAAAGTTCAGACAAATTTTAACTTCGATTAGTCTTCTATAATCTATAAATCTGATAAATTTGAATATTAACGAAAATTTGCAATCCTTAAGGATCTAAGTCATCTTTAGATTTTCTAATACATATAATTATTTTTATTTTATATATTCATACTACTAAAACTAAATGAATATGAAATTTATGGAAATATTTACAATTTTCTGTTGGACAAAAGCACTTGTAATGAATTATGTGGTTTAAAATTAACTTAATAATTTACTGTTTTACCCTAATCTATTGAAACCGGTAAAAATATTACCAATAAATGCACCTAAGCGATTATTGGTAAAACTTTGAACAAAAGGAAAACGCGATTGTACCCGTTCGGGTAATTCTATTGGTGGCTCTTCTGGTTTAGGATTTGATTTACACTTATACATACGATTGACTTTTTCAATATCCAAAGGTGAAAATCCATCACGTTGTCCCATTACATTTCTTCCTTCGGGTTTCTAAACAAGGAAATAGAAAGTTAAGTAAGTGCGGTGAAAAGGACAAAGGTCAGTTTAAAAAAATAATCTTTTTTATTAGTATACTTTCTATACACAAGTTTTCCTATATCTATCTTCAAAAGACAATTTATACTAGATTGTCTAAAGGTTGTACGATTTAGAAGAGATCTTTAGAGAAAATCAAATTGAATTACGAAATATTTTGTTCAATTTAAGTCGTTAGTTTTTGAGTTTATCGATCACGAACTAACACTTATATCTTAATAATGTAATAAAGGAAATCAAGTTAAATTAACTAAAATTAAGTTTGATTTCCAATTACTGATTTCTCATCACAAATCAGTAATTCGCAGAGCGATCAAAATTCTATTAAGATTTCGATTGTTTTGGAAGCCAGAATTTGCCTTCTGGTCCTGTTGAAATTTAAAAAAACACACACATACAAAATCTTACCTTAGCTACTATTGTAGGTTGTCCGTTACTGGAAAAAGCATTCGGTGAATAGTGCATTACACTGCCATAATCATAGCCCACACCAAAGGCAACAGTATTTGGCATCCTTTGGAAATTACTCACAGCCATTCTTTGCACATTTTTAAATTGTATAGTAACAAATGAATCACGTTCTTTGCGATTTTGTTCATGCAAGAAACCCAAAGCATGCATAAGTTCATGTATAGCGGTACCCGGTTTTGTCAAACAGCCAGGAGTTTGTAGATTTACCTCTTGTCTACCACCTACACGGCCAATGGAAGACCAACAACCTGAGTTACCTCTAACTATGGAAATATAATCATATTCTGAAGTGCGAGGTATAAAACGTATACAGGTTTTGGCATGATATTCATCTATAGCAAAAGCTATTAGATCTAATTCCTCTTTAGTAAAATCTCCAGCAATTTCGAACGGTACTTCTGCGTTAGGCCAACGGGAAGTTTTTGAAGTTATACCATTCTTTAGAGTAATTGCATTTTGTGGCATTAAAATATCACCTTCCAAATAGCTACCCAATTCCTCAGGATTCACTGTAGCTTCATGCGGTTTAAACTGGGCCAATAATTTACCAGTATTATTAAAATCTGGCAAACCATATAAGGAACCACCATAAACACTTAAATCAATCGAATTTGGATCTTGAATTTCGGGAAGTTCATTAGATACCACTTCAACTATTTCAGAATCATCATCCGAAGAGTCTTTGAGAATTCCTTTAAATATACCGGAAGTAAGTGGTATGCCGAGAACATTATTGCACAAAACGCTTAACACGGTTACCAATAATATTAATTTATAATCCATTTTATTGCGCTTGTTAAGAGAGGTATTATATAAAATTTATTAATGTTCTTTTTAAAATCTCAATCCACAACTAAAGTGTATTTACTACTGTCTACTTTAATTTATATACCCTCTGATTTTTTTTCGATTCTAGACAACGTCACTATTTAAAGTCAACAATCAATCCCAACTCAAACAATTAATGTCTGATAAGAATACTACTGCTGTGATCAGCAGGTACTTATGTCTGTCTGTCTTTCATTCTTTCGGTCTGCATGTCTATCTTCTGTTTTAGCACTACTACTCGTAGTCATTGTATTAAGAAGGAGCATTGGCCCAAAGAGTGTAAAAGCACCTACAACAACCTTCATACAGTGTATCTACTACATATAAGTATCGTGGTTATGTTTTATTTATTTAAACAGCCGTTAAAAAAACATTTAATTTAAATAAATATTTGTTCTAGTTATTTTTGGTTAGTATTTTGTTATTTTTATACATATAATTATTATTATTATTTCAATTTTGTTGTGGTTTTAATGCATAATTTCTCTTAAATCAGTTCAGTTTAAATTGTTGTTATTTTTTTTTTTTTTTTTTTTTTGGCATTCTTAACCTCAAATAAACTTGAGTGTTGTTGTTAACTTGCTTTAAAAGGTTATTGACTCCTGCACCCTTTTGGCTATTTTGTATTGTTGTTTCTTTTTTTTTAAACTAAGACATGTTTTACAAGTGTTTCAATAATATTTTTTAGGAAATTATTCATTCACTAATATCAAAAGAGTCATAAACTAAATACAGATGATAAACAGATGTTAACAATTCGGAAATGTTTTGTTCGGTTAAAGGTTTATGGGAATTTATCATTACTTTAGTTCAAGTTCAATTACAAGGTGTTGTTTGTCTTTTAAGAAATAAACAAGCATTTCCCAGAGTTATTGGTATGGAATTTTTCAAAAGTCATATATCTCACGACCCTTAACAAGTTTACACGAGTTTTTAATTGTAAAATTAAAACCAATTGAAGGTTATTCAAATTAGGGAACTAAGTTACTGGAGCGATATTTTGTATTTTTTTAAAACAAATTACAAATTTTAATAATGTAAATACAGAATTTTGAAAACATTTAATCGGTGAACAACTGAATTTGAGCAAAAAATATCTGTTTTTAGTGAAAAATTTATATTTTTAGTGAAAATTTGAGTTTTCAGTGAAAAATTAGATTTTCAGTGAAATTTCGGATTTGTAGTGAAAACTTAAATTGTCACCGAAAATCGAATTGTTAATGAAAAATTGAACTTTTAATATAAACTAATATATTTTAAAGAACAAACAAAAAATCAATTTCGTTGCTTTCTAAACTATTAAATAATAAATTTTATTTGCAATTAAAATTAAATACTTTGGTATAAAATGCCTACGTCACTAAAAAAATGCCGAAATAAATAATAAATGATTAATGCTTATCAAATATCGTGTCATGGATAGAATGAAACGTTTCATAAGTTCCTCTTTAATGCTCAAGATGAAGGATCATCGCCTAAACCTAAACCACTCAATAAACCACTAACGAAACTGGTAACTATGGTGTTGTCAATGCCTTGACCGCCAGGAGCGGGTAATGGGTTTGGAGCTGGAACGGGAACAGGAGCTGGGATGGGGGCAGGAGCTGGAATGGGTGCAGGAGTTGGACCAGGTGCTGAAACACCACCATAACCGCAATCATACATTTGATTTAGTTTTTCCACATCAAATGCAGAGAATCCATCACGTTGGCCCATTCTAGCTCTACCCATGTTTTGCTGCAAATAAAGTGCATAATTACAAATAGTAAATTGAATTTTGGAAAAACATTCACTTACCATGGGAACAATAGTAGGACGACCATTAGTGGAGAAAGCATTGGCTGAATAATGCATAACACTGCCATAATCGTAGGGTATACCAAACGCTATGGTCCTAGCAGCTCTATCAAAGTTGGACATGGCACTTGGTTGAATATTTTGATATTGAATGGACACATAAGAATCACGTTCCTCACGATTTTGTTCATGCAAAAAACCCAAAGCGTGCATAAGTTCATGTATGGCAGTACCAGGTTTAGTTAAACAACCAGGAGATTGCAAATTCACTTCTTGCTTACCACCAACACGTCCCACCGAAGACCAACAGCCCGAATTGCCACTAACAATCGAAACATAATCCTGTTCATTGCTGCGTGGTACAAAACGTATGCAAGTGCGACGATGATATTCTCTAATGGCATGCTCAATAATAGACATGTCACGAGCATTAAAATTACCACGAATTTCATAAGGAACAATACCCTTAGGCCAGCGAGAACTTTGTGAAGTTAGACCATTTTTCATGGTTATCTTCTTTTTAGGTATCAAGATATCACCTTCCAAATACGTACCCAATTCTTCTGGATTAACATCAAATGCTTCTGGGGTATAATTTGCCACCATACGAGCCGTATACTGATCATCGGGATCGCCATAAATTGCTGAGCCATAGAAACTCAAATCGATTACATCCTTTAAATGCGGTGCTTCATGAGTTAAAGTATTGCCAACTACTTCTACCATTTCCTCTTCGTCACCAATTTGAGGTATTAAAGGAACACTAAACACTTGTTCCACAACCAAAAATAGCAAAATTGCTGAGAGCTTAAACATTTTGATAGGAGTTCTGTTTTTTAATTTTTAGTTTTAGTCGATTCCAAGAAAGTTGTTTTTCCCAAAGGTAGTTCTCAGCTTTAATTGAATTCTGCACATTTCACCCAATTTATTTGACTATTTATATGTTCACAGCGGGTTGTCTAGTCCAGTTATTGTCTATTTAACATTACTATCTGAATTTCTTTTGAAATTCACCTTTTTGTTAAAATGTACATATTTTTTTTTTCTTTTAATTTTCCCACACTTGATAAATAAACGTTTACTTTTTTGAACTTTCTTATCGTTCATAAAGTATTTAAATAAGTAAATAATTTCTTTACTTTGTATTTTTACTTTTAAAAACAACTATTTACTGACCTTCATTTAAATATTTTTATTCCTTTTTTGTTTTATTAGTTGTTTTAAGTTTAAATAAAATATTTCATTATCTAATTTCTAATTGTTAAATTATGCTAGATTCTTTTAATTTAAAAAATGCCGACTTTTAGTTGTGATTTCAAATAAGTATTTGGTAAATTACTATTTACAATTTTTAAGTTAGATCTTTCAAAGCAAACAAATCTTCAGAAAACTAATCAAAATTTTTGTTGAAAACTGATATTTCTTAATAATAGCGATTGAATAGTTTATTTATGGAAAAGTCTAGTAAAAAGTAATTGCAAAGTCTTCTATATAAAACTGATCGATCAAAAATATTTCTCAAAAAAAGATTTCTAAATTAAAACTTTAATTTTGAAATTATTTTTAGAAATAACTACAGGAAAAGTTTTCTGATGATATTTCTGTAAACAATTTTTAAAAAGAAGTTGAGAAACAAGATTTTTTGGAAAATTGACTTATTTAATTATGCGGCAAGGAGGAAGAAGTATCACAATTATATAAATAATATGTTTGGAATCTAACTTAATACCACAATATATCAACTTCAAGAGAAATTGGTTAAGTTTTTTAGAAATAGTTTTGTATTAAAATTTAAAAGTTTCAAGTACTGAAAAGTACCATTAATTAACTAACACGCTTTTTCTAAGTTGACACATACATACGCAAGTAACTGATTTCATTGATCATGTAAATTCATATTTTTCTTCCAAAAATTAAGGAATTCTTAATATTTTATTAAATACAATAAATACAGACATATAAAATAAAACAAATAAAAATTCGTACCTTTACCCTTTACACTCTAACATCAGCCAATACTTGTTTAAATGTCCATATTCATGGCCATAATAAGATTCGGATCAATATCATCTGAATTTGCTGAAATATCTTCATCATCAAATTTTAGTTTCATACCAGTAAATTTCATAGTTGCTGATTCTTCCTCTTCAATAGGTGGGAAAAGATTGGCATTTTTAGTTGTAGGATATGAGGAACTACTGCTGCTACTGTTCCATGAAGATTTGCCATATATTTCATCCATTACCGACTCCTCATCCATAAAATCTTCTATGCAAGTTTTTAATATGGTTGAGGTTACAATACAATCGCGATTTAAGGCTAAACTTTTGTGGAAATATGTAATGGCCTCTTCGAGATTATCCATTAGGGCATAGATGAAACCAATAGCGGTATATGTTTGAGGTGATTGAGGTTTTAAAAGCAGGGCCTAAAAATAGTTTATTATGTTGAGGACAAAAATGAGAGAATATTGCTAAGGTAGACATTACATATTGATGGAATTCCAAGGCTTCATTGTATTTCTTATTTTTACGACAACAGTGTCCTAAATTATTAAATAAAGGTTCCCATCTGGAGGAAACTTCTTCTTTATTTTGTTGAGCTCTACTTTTCACAATATCAGCTGTGGTGCGAAATACTTCTTCGGCACTTTCATAGCTTTATGCAATATAAGAAAAGGTTTATAAATGAATGTTAATTATTATTTTGATTTTACTTTGAATAACTTACTACTCGTATTCATATTTTATAACACCCAACTCATGTAATACAAATACATCTAAAGGAGCTATAGACATGGCTTGATAAAAGAATTTCTCTGCTAATTCTAAATTTTTAGTTAAACCACATTCAACACCTATATAAAGCAGAGGTAAATGACAACCGCGCATTAGTTGAGTGGCTTTGAAATAAGCAGCCATGGCCTAAGAAATAATTTTAAAAATTTTAAAAAATAATTTTATATTTTTATTATAATTTTTTTCACCTGATCATGTTCATTTTCTTTGGCAAAGGAATGACCATAAGCTAACCAGGCCGGTCCATATAAACGATCCAAAGATGTGGCTTTCGATAAATAACGTCTTGCCGGATCACTTTTACCTATAAGATCATAATAACAGCCTACAGCATACCAAGAAATTGCCTTATCGGGATAACGATCCACTAGTTTATGAGCCACATAGAAAAGTTCTAGGAAAGTACAAAAAAAAATATTTATAAATCCTAATAGGTTACATAATTAACTTACTATTGGAATCACCAAATTCCACCAAACAGCCAATTTGTAGTGTTAAGGCGGCATTATGATAGGGATCAATTTTAAGCAACCTATTAAAAAAGTAATTAGTTATTTAAAAAATTTGTTTTTATATAACATACTCATTTAAAATTTTAAAACTCTTTTTATATTCACAATCATAGAATAGTTTTTCCGCTTCGGCAGCCATTACATCAGTACTCTTTTGTATGCGCGACATACAAGACGACAAAGCTAAAGCATTTGAAGTATCAACGTTATCTTTGCAACGACTTTTACCCGGTGTTTCCATATGAGAACGTTGTGAGTCATTTATTAAGGAGGAGGCACGTGTTAAACTGACTTGTAAGGAGAAAGGTGGTATTTTTAAATCCTCTAATACTTTATTAGCTGGCGACATTATTTGACTTTGTTTGGGTGTCATCATTTTGGGTAAAACTTTTTTATGTATACTAGCATCCGAGGCACGAGTACTTTGTATTTTTTCTGTTAATTCTTTAATAGATTTGAAAGTACCAACATTGCCTATCGGTGTTTCTTCGGCATTGGTGTGCTGAAGAAATTAATTACGTATATTTAATATCAATAAATATTATGTATTACAAATTTTAACTTACTGGTCCTATAGATTCATAATATTTCTTCAATTGTGTTTCATATAATTTGGTTATCAACTTGGCATCAGATTCTGATGACTGTTGTTCCAGAGGTAAGTGTTGCATTAATTCTTTTTCTGTAAAAAATATAAAGCAAAATCCAAATTAGAATTTACTTGGTGGCCATAACAATATTTTGAAAACCATCTGATATGATACGCTACACCATTATTTTAATAAAGCATTAATTGAATTTTGTCTTTAGATATATTTAAGGAATGTGTTGATGGAGAACCGATTTTTTAAAAGCGGTTATATATGGACGCTAAGTAGTATCAAATATGAACCAAAAAAAATTATGCCGGATTTCTCTGTAATACAATTTATTATAAGGGAATTAACTGCGTTCTGCGTTTTGCAGTATCATTAAGCGATTAGTAAGAATTTATAAGAAAAGCAACTAGGTATTCAAACAAAACTTTCAATTTACTAAATTTCTCTATAATAAATAAAATCTTACCTTCCCAGCCCATTAACATCTCATGTTGTACCAAAGCATCCAGTGCCTCAAAGCAATATACCGATTTGTGTAAAGCCTGCACGTAATAGTCCATAGCTAAGCCACGATTATCCATAGCTTCATATATTTTACCTTTTAAAAAGCTAATTGAAGCTAAAATTTCCTAAAAAGAAGATAATATTCTGCATGAACAACCGATTTTTTTCATTTTTTATTAAGTAACTTACATTTTTTACACTCTCTTCACCAAATAACATACTGGGCTGTTCCATGCCACCACCATCTAAGGGTTGATTTATTAAAGATGAAGCCAAATACTCTATATCCACCGTATTAATAACAACAATAGCCTCATTAAATTCCTTAGCTTCATACAAAGCCTCCAGCAGTAAATTATAACAAGGTATGTGAGTCTTTTCCAACTTGTGCAAACGTATGGTATGAGCAGCACGATGATATTCCTTTAACAAAAACATACACTGTGCCTGACAATATACGTCCTTGGGATCATTTTGACTGAGACAACAAACTTTTTCGGCCCAAAAGAGTGCCGTCTGATATCGTCTCATATCAAGAAATTGTTTCACCAATTTACGATAATGTTCCACATCAATGATACCATTTAATTCACTTGTACTGTTGTTTCGCATCTCACTGTCACCAGTCATAGTTTAAATGGAAAACAATCAATGTATTTTGCACGTTTTAAATCGATTTTAATTTGTTTATTTGCAAATCAAAAACAATTCAAACAAAAATTTGCGGCTTTTTGCGTCGAAGAATGCAATCAGGGTGCACTCATAAGGTGAAGTCAATTCAACAGCTGATCACTCATTTTTTTTTTTATTTGAGGTAGATACAACTGTCAAAGTACACCATTTATTTTATTTCATTATATTTTTAGGACAAACAATTAATAAATAAATTTTATATTAATTTTAATCCCTAGTAAATTTATGCGAAATACTCAAAAATTGCACAAACTATTTGTCTTAAATATGTATCTATTTTATCAATTATAGGGAACTTTTTACTAATCAATTGAGAGTACAAACATCCCACAATTGTAAATAAAGTTATGAAAACTTGATTTTATCATAGATACCCTATAAGAACAGTGACAGTCATTTGACCGGTCAATTGACTGGCACTACTGAGAATATACCCATCATTGCGTAGAACAAAGCTCCCATCACTTTCTTAAGGGCAATATGTAAAAAGTGATGGAAACATTTGTGTACATGTGATGTTGCATCACCCTCGCACTTATGAATTCTATCGACTTTAAAACATATATTTGAGCTGCTCACTCTTTTGTTGTTTAGTACTCATGGATGATATAAATATTACTCATGATTGACTAATCATGCTTGATGGATATATCCATCACAGTTAACAAATAAAAAAATGATGCATTAATCGGTCATTGTTGACTAATCACACTTGATGAATATATCCGTCAAATCTGACGGCTATACCAATTTATAATAAAACACAATTTATTGATATTTTAATATATATATATTGTTAATTTTATTAATATAGTAATCATATACATAAATTACCAGTCTTTTCACCATTTTACATACCACGCAGAATCTTAAGTCCTCTGATGCTCCTATTAATTTGTGGAAATAAGTTGTCTGTAAAGAAATACATAAGTATTCATAAATATCGAAATATAAAAATCATAAGTACATATTTATGTTACCATTGATTGATTAAACTCCGAATTGTTTATCTTCTAATCCACTTCCTGAACTTTTTTAAAATTTAGTTTATAATAATTCTCTTTATTTTTAATAATCTAAAGACTTTGTAATTTTATTATTTCTTCGCTTCTTGATCTTTGGCTTTCGCAGAAACAATTAATTTGTAACGACGAAAAATACCACTCTGTAACACAGTGACAGTCATTTGATCGGTCATTTGGCTGTCATTGTTGATCAAAATATAAATTTTAATACATTTTAATCAAAATGTAGTTGTTTCATTCTTTCATATGCAAATTCAACCCTATACCACACATTGGGTCCAGTAACGGTCATTTTACCGATCATTTGACTGTCATTGTTGATGGAATCATCCATAAAATTTTTTTTTCGACAATTCTATAAAAAAAATGTTGCATGTGTGTTAGTAAAATCATTTTGTATGTGTTAGTTTCGGTCATTCATTTCTTATAGGGTATCTTAATTTTTAACAACTTTCCATGGTAGTGGTTTGGTCACATTTGGATCATTCTATATTTCTTATACGACAATGGTAGAGACCTACACGGTATTATAAGTTCCAAATATTGACTGATAAAAAATAATATGTATATAATTTGTATTTTTGCTACTACATACTAACAATTTTGTAATCTAATACTAATTTTTTGTTATTTTAATTGATAATTTATTTACTTTTTTAATAAGTAAATAATAAATAATATTCTATTTTTCAATTCATGTATAATTTTTAATAAATTTTATCTTATAATACATATTTACTTTACGTGAAGAGATTTTTGGGCATGTGGGATTGTCTTTTTGTAAGGTAAATTAAAAAAAATACGGTGGCAACATGTACATTTTTTGACAGAAGTATCTACTTTTGTTGTTTTTGTAGAATTGACTTCACCTTATAAGTGCACCCTGAATGCAATACAAAATGTATTTCCACCAGAGCCCTGAGCCGACAAATATTAACGGCGGCGGCGACTGACACTAAATATGTCGGCGGCGGTTTAAAATCGACTGTAAGCCGGCTAAGTTTTCAACAACGCTAAGTTTTTAAATTTTCAACGATTTTAAATAAAAACTGAATCCGAGAGATTAGAAAGTGGGATTTTGGAAGCAAATATATTGTTTATAACAACAAAACAGAGCAAGCTCAAAAGTTGTGTGAGAAGTTATGCAGGGATGATTAAAAAATTCTTAAAAATTAAAAACAAATCCTTTCTCCAAGTTTTACGAGGATCTGCCGATATTTAACCCTATCCTCCATATAAAACATCTTGCAGAAAATCAGTTTCTAAAAAATTTTGCATTAAGAAAATTATCAATAACGTAAAAACAAAGATATTTTATTTGTTTATTTACTAGCTATACCCAGTATGCTGTCCAAAATGTTCAGATGAATATTAAAGTTCTTCGTGCAAAATTTGAAGAATTTAGTTCTATTAGTTTCCCAGATAAACGAATTTTTGTATTTAATTCATATGGGAGGTTCCGCTCCCCTCATTGGTAGTCCCCCAATTTATTACCCAAAATGTTTACATGGATGTTAAAGTTCTTCCAGAACAACAGCATTTAAAGGGATCACAAAGAGATTGAAAAATATTCCAAAAGTTTCACTTTGAAAACATTATTAGAGTGGCTGAAAACTCGCAACTCTAAAGGCAGACTATTCCTATTTTAGCCGTAATTTCTTTATGATTAAAATAAGTAAGGAGTAAGAGTTATATTCGGCAAATCATTTGTCGTAAAAAAGCAAATTTCGGAAGTGGTCATATACATATATATATGGACTTTGATCATTAGATTAATAAGAACGTCACCGTGATTTTCGGATTAGGGACTTAAATGTGGAAAACGTTAAAATCAATTATTGAAGGGGGCAGAGTCAATTATGGCCTATAGAGATTTGGATTGATATCGAGCCCTTTTTGCAAAATGGACGTAAGCGAGATAAATTTAGGATACTGCGTGTTTAATTTTATGTTTATATATTCAATATTTTAGGAAATTCAAAAAGTACCAGTTAAATAACGAAAAATTACCAGAAATACTCCAGTTTAAATTTTCATTCACTCAAGTCCCTGATTGCTTAGTTTTATGTTTTTAGGTTCATTATAATAGAAAATTCAAATAGTCCCTGAATACGGCAATCAGCTTCCGTCCATTGCCTCTAGGTGATAATATACCATGTCACCACTAGCCGACCGACCACCACCCGCCTAGGTGACTAGGGAGGTATACAATTGCCACTCTTATGTGGGCATTCTTCCAGGAGACCATCATGATGCCTCCTCTTTCTTGAAAAGAAAGACGTTCTTTTAGACAAATAAATAATTAATTATCACCATTACTTACATTTTTTAATCTTCTAGATCTCACAAATATGCCAAATCTAGATTTCAATAAACACTTTTGGGTATTAAACGAAAATAAACCCCGCCTGGAAAAACATTTTTATCATAGTTATTAACAATTTAACTAAATTAAACCCAACACTTGCTGTTTCTTTGCACAATGACCCTCGGTATAGTAGTATAGCATACAATCTTATTAATTTCAATTGTTAGTAAAAAAATATTTTTTTATTTGGAGAATATCATTTCTGTCATTTTAGATTTTTGCAACAGATTTTTTTGCAAATAAAAAATGCAGAAAACTGTTTGGCGCGAAAAATTCTAGCAGAATTTCTTTTCGCAGTCGGCAGAATTGACATCAACTGCACTTCCCATTTAAAATACACGTTCGATATCCTAGCCTTTTACGGTATGACATACCAGCAATGTAAAAAGGTGTAGCTCCGTTGACGTCAACGAAGCTGGTTTGAAGTAAAAGCAGCGACTCGAATTAGGCGCGTAAAACACGAAAATATCTGAGGCGAAGCATATACATCGAACGTTGAGTAAAGTTCTACACCGGCCAAATTTCAATGAGCGGCTTATTATTAGATAAAAGAAAACTTGCTTAAATGAAAACAAATTAATTTTATATTGTAAAATTCCATAAATTTAGCGAAAGTGTTCTGTAAATTGTACAAAATATGGCGAAATTTTCAAGCCGTATTAAGCTGAAAAATTTTCGGCGGCGGCGGCTTTGACATTTTGTTCGGCGGCTTGGCTTAGTCGGCTTAGGCCGAATCGGCGCAAGTCTCTGATTTCCACAACAAAACAAACTGCCAAAATTGTGCAAAGTAATCAGCTGTTTAGTTGGTTTTGTTAGGTGTGGCATCTCTCTCTTATATTTGAATGACGACAGAGTATGGTTGCCAAGCTTTCAATTATTAAGAGTTGGCAGAGATAATTTCAAAACAACGTGAAACAAATAGAAATATAAAAATATGCGCAGGAGTAATAAATGCTCTAAAAACTAGAAAATATACCCTAAATATGCTATTAAAATCAAATCATGCGAAATTATACTCAATTATGTCAAAATTATTTAATTGCTGTAAAACGTCTAAATAAATACCTTTTCCATGAGTCCATACGACGCACCATAAAAAATATGCTTTTGCATATTTTGGTTACCCTATTAGCAACCCAGGCCAACAAAATTTGAAAAAAGTCGAAACCCAGAGACCAACGTTTTCCAGATATCGTGTCATGAAGTTTGAAAAACCCCCGTTTTAGGGCACATTTGAGACACTATACCAGCGCGAAGATACCTTTATTTATAAAATCTGTTATATCATCTGAAGTCCAATTAGTCGTATTTAAAATAAAGGTTAGAGCACTGTTTAATGCTTTTCTATTTTCGATATATCTGAAAAACCTAATGTGATTAATAAACTCGGATTCAAGGATGCTTAATATTTAGAAAAGTACACATTCTTTGTGCTCTGGGTTAAAAATTTGTTGGCCGGTGTAATTGGAGAGATATTCTGAAACGTTTAAAATTTATAAGAAAACAAAAAAAAATAAAATTAAAATATCCTTGGAACCAAAATTGCTCAAATATTTATTTTACAATATTAGTCATTTTAGCTAAATTATTCAATATTATATATTTTTATTTTTTTATGTTTTACATATTTTACATACATATATAACTACAACCATATAAAAATAACAACATTCCACATCAAATATCTTATTCTACACAATGGTAGCTCACAGCCACATCGAACGCTACCTATGCAACATGTCTGATGTTACAACCAACAAACACTCCTTTTGTATAAAACCAGAAGAAATTTTACTTTTTTCAATTCCTCAAAATCCTGCACAGTCTCTTGATTTTATTCGAAAGGTGAGGTTTTATTTTCTCAAGCACTTAAACCCTCTAAAAAGCACAATATTTGGAAAAAAATAAATATTTTTTAATTTCTTGAGGAATAAAAGAAAACAATTCTGCCGTTTTATAAAACTGTATTTTGTGTTTTATTTAATAAATTTTATGTCAAATAAATTTGTTCACTTATTGTTACAATAATCAAAAAAAAAAAAAAAACTGTTACAGTGGTTGTAGTTGTTTTTTATATTAAACACAAATAACAACAACAATTAAAAAGTAGTAAATTCCAAACGAACAAGTGTCACAAAAAATAAATGAATAAATAAAATCGAAATAAAAAAAAATCACAAATAACGGTGAATGAAATTTTTACGTTTTTAAAGCTGAATGTATTGAAATGTGTGCCTGTGACAGAGTTTAGTTTGTTGTCGCTTCTTTTAATAAAACGTGCGAATTAATTTCAAAAGTCTTAGAAAAACTACTAAAAATGTGCCATTATTAATAAAAAGTTTTAAAGAAATACTGAGTAAAAATAAATAATATTTGGGCCGCAAACTATAACCAGTTTTTTAACATTTGTGTAAAGGTAAGTTTCAATTTACTTTTAAATTAGTTGCAATTATAAAGAATCGTTTAATAGTTTCTAAAACAATTAGTAATAAATAATATGTAGCATCATATAAACTTTGTAAAAGTTCAATGCAGCATACCACAGAAGAAAAAAATGTAAAATAAAATCGGGAGGAGTCGTTCGTCTTTTTGTTCGTTTGTCACGTTTTTTTTTTCTTCCTTATTTTAGAGAGTGTGTTTTTTATTGTTGTACATTTTGCGTTAGTTGTAAAAATATTTCATTTTAGTGTATTTCTGCTATTGCTTTTGTAGTCGATGCTGTTATAGATTTTAACATTTTAAACACCACAACTTTAATAATTTCCATTCATACTGCCTTACAAATTGTATGTCATTATTGGGCTCCCCTTCGCACCACTCTACTCCATACTACTTTATCTTTTCCTTCATTCTAGTCATCATCTCTCACTCTCCTCCATCCATATACTATTTAACATCAACATCTGTCATTAGTGACCCTACTTTCTTTCTTCATATGAGAACATCATATATTGACAGTTAGTTGTTATTGTTGTTGGTTGGTTTTTTCTTCATACATATTACATTCGCACAAATTTTTTTGCTTTCCTTCTCTTATTTGAACTTTTGTAAAAATCGTTTACAACTTTGCCGGTTTTTACATTATTGTTTCTTTTTCTATGCCGCATTTCATTTATCTCATTTTAGAACAACATTATCATTCCGTACACTTTGTTATTAATCATATGTTTGCTGTCTGCTCTGTTCGGTAGGTTTAGAGAACAATGTTCAAAAAACAATAAACGGAGCTATGGGCTCCATTTTTCAAATAAAACTTTTCAAGTTAAGGTCCAAAAAGTTAAGTTGCAAAAAATCTCATTAAATACAATTGTGGCTATCTAGAGGAATAAAAGTGTTTGTAAAATATAGTATAACTTCTCAATGAACTAAGCAACTACAGCATAACCTAGACGTGACAAATTATTTAACACACTTTTGAATGTGTGTCACTTTACTACAATAATTCATCAATTTTACTTACAAAACCTCTTTTTAATCAGTATTGAATTTATTCCTAGTACATAGTCCAACGTCTTTATAATCAAGGGAAAAAAATATTCCGGTATATGATGGAATTTGTGCTTTTTGTTATTCACCGATTTGCAAGGGTGTGATGAATATTGATCAAGGGAAAATTTTTAATTTCAGTTTTTATTAATAAAAATTTTGTATACAATTGTTAATGGTTTTTCAATGATGTTGTGTTCATCTTCTTGCATTTAGTAACATATTTTCAACTTCAGCGGCCAAAATCTCATCCTGTAGGGTGTTGTCCACCCCACAAATAAGGCTTTTGAACTTCTTGAATACACTCTTTCGGCAAAAACTTCTTTTAAACACATGCACATTTTATAGTGTCCATTTTGGGAAAACAAATTGTAAAGCGACTCATTCGATTACTCGAATAGTAAATTTAAAAAATAAATTCACTTTCTGAGTCGATTAAGATACAAATATCCGTCCGTCTTTAAAGGAAAAAAAAGCAATACGTTAAATAATATTTATCGTAGAATGCTATACATGACGAAAATTTTATCTTTAAGTTTTTTGGAACCAAAATACTTTAAAAATATTTACAATTATTTTTTCTGCCATAAGCTCTAAATTAAGAAAGTTTTGAGATCTATTTGGATAAAATTGAAGAAACTTTTATTTGTACAAATTACACTGGGACTGACTACGCTTCCATGTAAACCAGGTCGAAATTTTCAATATATTTTAATGAAATTTGGACCATACATGTTTTTTCGACTCATGAAGCTTACTGAAAATAGATGAAATTAACTAACTTTTATATACATGTATTCCTCCTCCAAATTTTATAAGGATTTAAAGGTTTCATGGAAAATGTTTGTTGGTAAAAACAAATCTTTATTTAGTATTCACTGAATGCGCCATCGTACGATGTTGAGAAACTCAGTTTCCTGGACGTAATTCCTAAGAATTTTTCAATCATTGTTCGTCAGGGATGTTATATCCGGAATAATATTGCTCCCAAGATATTTTGATCTTTTTTTGGCGAAAGCTTGACAATGACAAAAAACGTGCTAAAAAGTCTCAATGTCCTCTTCAACATTCTGCCGAATCCGCTCGTCCAATTTTGTATTGCTGTGCCGGTAATCCTTTGTGTCCACTCAAAATATGTACCATGATACTAACCTCAGACTTGCTCAATTTTAAGGAGACTTTGTGGTTATACACACCGTTTTAGTATTCTAAGGGGCCTGCCTTATGGGTTTCTCTCACCCACATTTTTTTGTGTTCGTCAGGTTAACTACATCGAGCTCCCTTCCTTTAGGTTACTCGACTACTCCCGAGTGGCATGGTACCCATAAGTTGGGAGAGTATTCGGTTTGAGCTTTTTTACAATTCAATACGGTCATAGATTTAACTTTATCATCTGATATAACATTAATTGTATATTGTATGTTAAGCCCTGTGGGCGCCATATGTATGTATTCTAATCCAACTTACGCATTCCGTTATTGCTCGGACTTCTGCCTGGAAGCTAGTGTTGTGATTAGGTAAATGGTGTTATACTTCTTTTTCTGGGTCTTCAGAAAAAGGCCCACTTTGTCCCAATTGAGAGTCATCCATGTAGCAACGGATTCATATGGGTATTTCTTCTAATGTTCCTACGGGTATTTGTTCTAATGAGAATTTAAAAGAAATATTACTTTCAAATTAAATTTTTTCATTCTAAGTCCTTTTTTTACTTTATAATTTGTTATCGGTTTTTTAAACACTCAAAATGCCAGTTATCTCACGTTGCTTCGGAGAGAGCCCTCCAATCGACATATACCTTTATATAGGAAGTTGGAGGCCAACACAATAAATTAATCAAAAGTATTATTTGGTCACTACAAATTTAATTAAACATAACCTCAAACGAGGTAAGCAAACAACTCATAACTTGGAAACAGTTATACGGAGTAATAAACACCGTATAACTGTTTCCAAGTAATGCGTGCGAATGAGACGCTATCCTGACAACAAACATAACACTGACCGTCCTTATAAATGATGGCGATGATGCGAATTATGACTCCTTTTAGGTGATTTCGATAATAAATATTTAAGCCTTCTATAAAATCTTAAAAAAATTTTGAAAAGATTTAAGAAAAAACTTTTTAAACATAATTTTTGTTATATCGGGATTTTTGGGAATCCCTACTAGTAAAAAATATCAAAGGATTATAAGTCAATCGATTTGTTTTAAAACAAAGTTCAACTTTTACATTTCATTGTAACATTTATTAAAACATCAACACTCTACAAATGCATCAATTCATCGAGCATTATTTAAAATACTTAAATTCTTAATCCACTAACAAACTGATACACCAAAATGTGCAATGTACATAGTCTCGCACATGTAGAATAAAGAAGAAATCATCTTTTATACATACAATGTTCAATGTTGTTACCACTCACTTCTTTTTTCATTTAACCTCATTTTAAAATGTAAATCGCATTTTAATAAACCTCTTCCTTAACTTTTTCTTTGAATAATTTTGAGCTGCACTAGAATAAAACATAAAAAGGAAGAAAAACATCTTATATATATATTTGTATGTATAAATGCAACCATGTTTAGAACATATTGTTGTATGGACTTGGTTGAACTTTTATACGCCCAAACATTGATACTCTTCTATAGATACAGATGCTTACATATGTATGTACTTAGATATTCTAACAAAAGAGTGTTAGTTTTATTGGTAACTAATGGACTATTCATCAGTTTATTTGTAATAAAAATCCAAACATTCATATTAAAATTCTTGTTTCTTCTTGCCAGGCATTTGTACATACTTACATATGGGATGTTGGTTGTATTGTGTATTGAATGAATCTTTGTGTGTGTGTGGTTGATTTTTTTTACTATTTTCTATTATTTAACTAACTCTATTTTTCATTACCATTTTACTGCATTTTACTACAGTGCAACTAACACTGACATTCTACAATACAACATATTATTCACATAATAAGTACAATGTATAGTATTTGTTAATGTGTGTATACTGCGAGTCAGATATCTAAATAATGAACTCTTTGATATTGATATTTTTTAAAAATTAAGGAATACTATGTGCCTGTCTTTGAACAGTTTATTTTTTATGATTGATTGCGCTTAAATGGCTAGAATATAAAGGCGTAGCATCCCTGCAAAAATTGAGACTACTCCGCAAACGCGTGAAAAGAGTACTTCTCAAAGGACTGGTCCAAAACTAATCCAAATATATGGAAACATATAGTCCTAGGTGAGGACCACGTAATTAATCAATACATAACATCGGAGTAATACCAAAACTACTCCTTTGCTAAAATTATGGCAGTACATGATACGCAACTAGGTCGCATGTAATGCAGGCTATGAACTATAGAATTGATTATAGTCTGGACTATAGAATAGACTATAGTCTGGACAATAGAATAGACTATAGCCTGGACTATAGACTATAGTCTGAACTATAGAATATACTATAGTCTATACTATACAATACAATAGACTATAGAATATACTATAGTCTGGACTATAGAATAGACTATAGTCTATATAGAATAGACTATAGTTTATAGAATATACTATATCCTGGACTATAGAATAGACTAAAGTCTAGAACGGAATATAGCCTGGACTAAAGAATAGACTGTAAACTGGACTAAAGAATAGACTGTAAACTGGACTATAGAATAGACTACAAACTGGTGTTTTCCAAAAAATAAATATGATCCATTTCTGCATTACATAGGACCACTAAACAGATCATGTACTCCAATATTTAACAGAGGATTGGTATTAATTCAATATAGAATAACCGCTCATTCTGCATGCTTTAAAATATATTTTGGGACAATTCGACAGAGTTCAGGAGAGACCGAAGGTACTTAGAGGACGTGTGTCCGATATTCGCAGATTCATAGGCAAAA